GGGTGTCTGTGACACCACCCCTACAATGCTCCAGAGCATAACAGGCTTTTGCTGATGTATCTAAGTACATTGTATATATAGGAGGGCTCCAGAGTCAAAAGGAACAAGGGTAGGCTGGAAGGAGACAAAGGGAGCTGGAAGGGGGAACAACACTGAGGGTTAAGGGTTTGACTCAATGGTGTTTCCCAAAGTGTCAGGGGACAACCTCTGGGTCCCCATGACCCCTCTCTCTACATCCCACAGTCTGACCTGTAACAGCCCATCCTAGGGCACAATGCTACTGTGGGTAAAGAAGGTTAACTTCTCACTTTCCCACAGTGGCCACAATATGGCAAAAACTTCTGGAGATATCTGGAAGTCACATGAGGGGTGGGAACTGGGGCCCAGAGCATGCAGTATGCACGGCAGTGTAGGGGTGGTGGTCACAGACACCCCAGAACAGGTGATATATCAGGTCTCACATACAGGATAAAATGTTAGAAAATCCTACAGTGGAAAGTTGGCTAGAAATTAGGTGACAAGGTTATAGTATGGATGGTAGAGGGCATCAAGGCAATTTCAATGCATGTTATGCAAGGAGAATTGGTGAGGTATTCACAGAGATATGTGGATTCCAGTTGTGTATTGTGATGCATGTCACATGTTCATTGTGCATGCATGGGAACTGGGGTGCACAGATGGTCCCTGGCATCCCTCAGGCTTCAGAAAAATAAGGATAAATATTCATGGTGTGGCTGGTCAGGAGGATGTGCCAATTTTGGGACCATGGTGACATATGGTTGGAAAGTGTGCCAGATATTCCCCACCTCAACACTATCTCACGCAATTCTCCATCAAATTGGATGCAGTTTGTTGTGTTGGATAGCTGTAGTTTAGGCACTTTCTATTTTGTTGCTTGTGATATTGTGTCTATTCTATTTTCTCTTGTGGTGTGACCAGATGAGTTGTATGGAACATGCTGGAAGCTCGCAGATGTGTTTTCAGGGTCATTTGTATATAATATTGGCTAGTTACATTTTGATATAGAGATTTCCCCTCTGCTGCATTTAGATCTGGTCACCAAGTGAAGTGTGCTGGAGGTGTGGTCAAGTGCAGTAGTCTTGAGGGAGGGGAGGAAGCCTCACAGTGTCCTCAGGGAGATCCACACCAAGTTATAGGATGCTGAGTCCAGTTCAGTCTTTAGTTCAGTCTTGATTCTGTCCAGGGAGCTGCTTGCTGGCCCCCTTTTTATTTCTTATCCTGCTGGGTGGGAGTGGGTGTGGTGCAAAGTAGTAGAGGTGGTGGTGGTGGTGGTGGTAGGTTGGTGTGCTGCTGTGCTGTTGCAAGTGGGGAAGCGAAGCACAAGGAGGGGTATTGGGGGCAAAGGATAGGGAATTGTAAGGAATGGGTGTTGGATGTAGGAGTTTAATGCGTGCTGTGCACACATTCCTTTATTCTTTACTTTAGTTTATTCCTTTTTATTCCTCAATGTAAACAATGTATATATATTGTGGGGAAGGGTGAAACAGGTTTTCACTCTTCTCCTCCCCTGTCGAATTACAGCTCTATACTGCCTAACTTCTGACAGCTTGAGGATAGCAAGAGTCAACACCAAGGTCGGAACCTCAACTGACCTTACAGGAATGGATGCACGGCACAGCAGCACACCAACCTACCACCACCACCACCACCTGAACCTCTACTACTTCACACCATACCTACTCCCACCCAGCAGGATGAGAAATGAAAAAGGGGGCCAGCAAGCAGCTTCCTTGGACAGAATCAAGGCCAAACTGAAAACTCAACTGGGACTTGGTGTCCTATAACTTGGTGTGGATCTCCCTGAGGACACTGTGAGGCTTCCTTGCCTCCCTCAAGACTACTGCACTTGACCACGCCTCCAGCACACTTCACTTGGTGACCAGATCTAAACGTAGTGGAGGGGAAATCTCTGTTACATGTCATATCCATCCCTGGCCATCGACTTCCACTCCCTCTGATCCCTCCGTTTTACCTCTGCTCCTTCTTCCCTAACCTTGGAGCTCCCGCATTCCGCAATCACCTCGGTCCCCCTCAATGGTCACCACCCCCTCTTTTCAATTTATTACCTACACCTCCCTAAGTACGGAGCCCCAAAGGCTTCCGGACAGCTCCAACGTCTGCTAGCGCACTCCTGCCTCCACTGGGCAATACACTCACTTGCCCTGCAAGCCCATCTTCAGGCCTATCCCTCCTTTCCGTTTCTGGGTTATTGCCTACCATTCCGTTAACCCTGTAACCCAACTTGTCGGTAATATTCAATCAGCTAATGTCTAATCCCGTTAGCTCTGCTCCGCCATTTGCAGACCCGCCCCTGTTGTAACTATATATATACTCAACTTGTACATAGGTTACACTTCAGTAATAAAATCGACTAGAGTTTACCCCCCTTCAGTTCTGGTTGCCAGTTTAGTAAGTTAGGGCATGGACGTGTTACTTGGCACAGTGCTCCTGGCATAAGTCACTGAGGCTGAAGCCCTCCACCATGGAGACACTCCTTCATCTCAAACCTGGTCTCTGACATTACAAATGTAACTAGCTAATATTATATACAAACGACCCTGCAAACATGTCTGCAAGCTTCCAGCATGTTCCATATGACTCATCTGGTCACGTCGCAAGAGAAAATAGAGTAGGAAACACAATATCACAAGCAACAAAATATAAAACAATAGAAAGTGGCTGCAGAAAACCTAACCTGCATCTCCAGCCCAAACCACTCGACACAACTGCGCTCCCTTTATGTCAACCAACTCGCCTAAACTACAGCTATCCAACGCAACAAACCGCATCCAATTTGATGGAGAATTGAGTGAGATAGCATTGAGGTGGGGAATATCCAGCACATTTTCCCTAACTTTCCAACCACATGTCGCCATGGTCCCAAAATTGGTACATCCTCCTGACCAGTCATACCATAAACAATGGATATTTATTCCCATTTTTATGACGCCTGAGGGATGCCAGGGACCATCTGTGCACCCCATTTCTCACGCATGTGCAATGAACATGTGACATGCATCATGATACACAACTGGAATCCACATATATCTGTGAATATCTCACCGATTCTCCTGGCATAATGTGCATTGGAATCGCCTCGATGCCCTCTACCATCCGTACTATAACCTCATCACCTAATTCCTAGCCAACTTCCCTCTGTATGTTTTTCTAACATTTTATCCTGCATGTGAGACCTGATATATTGCCTGTTCTGGGGTGTCTGTGACCACCACCCCTACACCATGCATCCATTCCTATCTGGTCCCTGACCCCTTTTGCTCTGCTCCCCACTTGCAGCAGACCATGCATGCAGGTCTGGATGTGGGTCCGGGTCTGGGTTAGTCAGGGTGTGTGCCCTGACACAAAGGAGGTATGGAGGGCCAAGGCCCAAGGAGGAAGGAGGGTGGGAGTTGGAACAATACAGTAAGAACTGCAAGGTCCAAAATAAGTCCAGAAAGTCTGAACTTGGAAATCAAACTCCAGAATATTGGAAAAGGTAAATAAATGAAATTAGCTAACCAATACAGTGGACATAAGTGGAGGTGGGGTCAAAGTCTGAGGTCAGAGCTAAGACTGGAATTCCAAGACAGAGATGCAAACAGGATTCCAGAGTGGAGGTCTGGAGTTGGGAGCATAGGGTGTTGGAGCTGGAGGTGGGATAACCTCTTGGGAGTCAACAGAGGAGAGGGTGGCAGAAGGGAAGTGGGGCTCTGGAGTCAGTTTCAGAGTTCCAGGAGCCCAGAGCAGAGGTCGGGATTGTACAGATATGACAGTTTTCCCAATGTTATTTACTTCCCACTGTGCATGGCACTCACATTGTGTGGGGTATTGACAGTACCAGGGTGTGAAAGATCTTCCAATCCCAATGGGCTCCATTTCCAATGGGTTGTTATTGACTCACTTGTCTGTTCCTCACTTTTGGATGTTTACAATGTACAGAGGTTGTCCTTCTGTGGAGGGGATGGAAGGTGGTGGCGGTGGATGGATATGACAGGAATGGTCTGTGACAGGTAGTCCACACCATGCAATTTGTGCTAGGTGTGAAAGCAGAGCAATCCTCTCAACTGCCATGAGCATTCAAGAGAAGTACTATAGTATTGGAAATCGCTACACTGGTCATAATATACCTGGTATTGATGGTGATGTGGATGTCTTCAGAATGAGGGGACAGATGAGTGGAGAAATGGATCGGGATGATGAAGATGAGAATGAACCTTTCAATGGACCATTGCAATAGTGTAACATGAGCATTATTATGAGATTAGATCCCTCTGTAGGTTGTAAATATGGAAGAGTCAACAGCTGCAGATAAAGCTTGATTACAAATGAAGCACACCTTGGATGATGCACCAGCAACACATTCACCAGTCATGGAGTGTTAATGGACTGAATGTCACCAGTCAACACTCAATGAGATGTGTTCAATATACAATGAAGTGCTACCAAGCCAATTGGATCTCAGCCATCCCAGATTGCCTCTGCTCCTTCATCTCCAACCTTGGAACCCCTGGATCCTGCAATCTCCTCTGACTCCCCTGATGGTCACCACCTACCCATTTCAATATATTACCTATGTGTCAGGGCACACCCTGACTAGCCTGGACCCGGACCCGCATCCAAACCTGCATCCGGACCCACTACACTTCCTGTGTGTGCACTTCCTGCACTGCATGCTCTGCACACCACATGATCCGGCCCTGGATCTCACCTCATGTGACTTCCAGGTATCCCCAGAAGTTTTATATTGGGGCCACTGTGGGAAAGTGAGAAGTTAACCTTCTTCTCACTTTCTTACCCACAGTAGTCATGCCCTGAGATGGGCTGTGTTTACAGGTTAGACTGTGGGCCATAGAGAGGGTCATGGGGACCCAGGGTTCATCCCCTGACACTATGCCTCCCTAAGTATGGAACCCCAAAGGTCTCTGGACAGCTCTGATGTCTGCAAGCACACCCCCACCTCCATTGGGTCATTTAGTTGCCTACCCTGCAAGTCCACCTTCAGACCAATCCTGTCACAACCTGGCATATCTGTCACTTCCATCAACGCATCCTAGTGCCGCTTGGCCTGTCCCACTCACTGCCATCATCATCCGTTCACCCACCCATCCACCCATCGCTGTCAGGGTCCATCCTTCGTCCAGAGGGGACGTAGCAATGAGGTCTGGGAGTGGCACTGGAGAGTCTTCTCCAGCCACTAATTCCTCAAAGTTGCTGAGGGGACTTGCCCTGGGCTTCACAGGGAATGAGTTGCTGCACATTAGGAAGTAGGTAATTACACTTGCCTTCACAGGGAATGAGTTGAGAAGAAGGGTAACCTTCTCAACCCCCTGTGAGGCTGCTACAAAAAGGAGCCTGAGAACTATGCAGTTGTTGGGTCTTTCCTGAGTTTCCATATTAGGTACCATGGGAAGATTCTGGGTGAGCTGCTTGCCCAGAATGTTCCCATGGGTTCGCATACCTGTACCATTGTGGAACAGTGGAGGAAAAATGGGGGAAAATGGGGGGAGGGTGGTTAGGAGGGGGAAAGGGGTGTCTGAGGGTGTGTGGGGTCGAGGGCTGTGCCCTGACAGTCACCCTCATCTGCACTTTCTCCCTGCGCATGTACCTTCCAACCAAGGTTGCCCATTCAAGTGGTTCATTGTTATCTGCCTGCCAGCCAGACAGCTTGCTAGATGGCTGGATGGCCTTTTCTCTCTTTTGTTCGCTTGTGGACTATTGTTCTCCCCTTGCCACTCCTTGTTTCTTTATTTCCTTTTGTTGGCAACGTTTGCCGATATTAACCATTTGTCTATTTCTTCATTCATTAATATTGCGCTTGATCTGCCACTCCTTCCAGCTGGTCCTATTCAGTTAGTTGTGCTTATAATGTGTGTAGGTTACACTGGATGTACCTCAGTTTGTATATCAACTTGGATTTCCCCCTAGTCTCTCTTCATTGTAAGGCTTCTGTTTGAAATTGGGACACCAACATTGTAGGTGGGATAATCACCCACACAGAGCCAGCTCGCTTCCACCATTCAGAAAACCCCTTCCATTCATGCGACGACTCAGTACAGATTTGGTGTCCAAAAATAGTGCTAATTCATACGGTTCCGACGAAATCAAGAACATCCCAAACAGTGGAGAATTGATGGAGTTCTGCATTGGACAGGTTAGGCACAGCAGGTCACAAGTATGTGTGGGCATGGGAATCTCAAGTGGCAACCCAGAATTCCAGCCTCACTCATTCCAACAGTGTCTAATAGATTGGTAAAAATGCTTATTGGCTGCATGAGAGTTATCTCCAGCTTGATTTTCAATTTCAGCTCTTAATTCCATAAATCTGTTGAGAAATTGCTTATTTTCATAATTTCACCATCATTTCAGTTATTGATTATATTCTTTTATTGTTACTGTTACCCTTTTTTATTATTTCGCCTAATAAGGTATGCAGGTGCCATATGGCACCAATATTTACCATCTATTCCTTCTTATAATCCTGTACATACCGGATTTTTGAAAAGAAGTTCTCCCCTCCCCCAAAAATTCTCTAAGGTGCTAGGATACACTAGAGTGGGTGTGAGTGTGTGGAATTCCAACAGTAGGAATAAGGGCAGTGATCTAGCTCACAACAAGTGAGTAGTGGACACTGAGCCTGGACCTTGCGGAAATCCCAGGAACCCACCATGGAGTTAAGGATCAAGTCAAGAGAAAAAGTAGAGGTTTCGGAGAGTTGTCCCCCACGAGCTGTGTTGGCATAGAGAGCTGTGAGCCCTCTTTCAACATAAGAACGAAGTGCAGCACTCCACCCAAGTCACTGAAGCTGAAGTCCCACCCCTCTGACCTTATGAGCCTGGACGACTTCACGCACCCTTGCAAATCATCCAGATACATGTTCAAGACGTTCCTGACAGATCCCTCCATTCCAATAACCTGTTAACCCCATAACCCAAGTCATCAGTAGTATTCAGTCAGCTAACCCTTGACCAGCTCCATCTGGCCAGACTCCTTCTGTATCTATGTATGCATAACTTGTGTTACCATACACCTTAGCGAACAAATCGACTAGAGTTAATCCCCCTCTTCTAGAAGACTCCTCAGTCTGTAAATTAGGGCACCAACATGATACTGGGCACAGGGCTCCTGGTAGAGTTGCTGAGGCCATAGCCCTCTGAACATAGAGTCATTTTCATTTGTCCTGAATCCAGTCTCTGACAGTTCCTGGAACCTATCCAAGCTCGCAAGGTGGTGTTGTGTGGAGCTCAAGGTTCCGGGTCATCCGATGGCAAGTCAGAGACCAGCCAGAGGAACTTTGGGGGTGATGAGGGTGTTAAAGGGACTTGGCTTCAGTCACTCAGAGTGGAGTGCTGCACCCATTATGTTACTATGTCCCCAATTTGTCAGGGAGGAGGGGCCAACTGGCCACCTGTTAGATTGGGTGGATTCGGACGACTCTGGAGTGGAATCGGAGACTTAGCGTGGAAGGACCTCAGCCTCAGCGACTCATGCAGAGCGCTGTGCCATTGCTGGTTGTCCTGGGGGTCCCTAATTTCGGATCTAGCAGAGGGAAAGTCTCTTGGGGGGAAATCAAGTCGATTTCGGACTGAGGTTACAAGTTACTATGTACATTGTATATAAGGAGGGGTCCAGAATCAAAAGGAGCAAGGGTACTCTGAAAGGAGACAAAGGGAGCTGGAAGAAGGAACAGCACCAAGGGTCAAGGGTTTGACTCAATGGTGTTTCCCAAAGGAGGAGTGAAGGCCCAAGGCCCAAGGAGGAAGGAAGGAGGATGGGAGCGGGGAATGGCCAGCTGACCGAATAGAAAGGAAGCAGCAGCCCAAATAGGAATGAGGGAGGATAGCGGAATTGAATAGGACAATGCAATAGTTGCAAGGTCCGAAGTAAGTCCGGAAAGTCTGAACTCGGAGGTTAAACTCCGAAATATTGGCAAAGGTAATTAAATGGAATGAGCTAACCAATACAATGGGTATAAGTGGAGGTGGGGTCAAAGTCCAAGGTTGGAGCTAAGACTGGAGGTTCCGGAGACAGAGACACAAACGGGATTCCAGAGTGGAGGTCTGGAGTCGGGAGCATAGGTGTTGCATGCTCATCTGGAAGGTGTCAAAGTTGAGGTTGGACCCAGAATGTTCCAGAGTCAGACCGAAGGTGGTGTCGGAGCCAGAGGTGGGATAACCTCTTGGAGTCGGCAAGGAGAAGGTGACGGAAGGGAAGTGGGGCTCCGGAGTCAGTTTTGGAGTTCCGGGACCCTGGAGTGAGGTCAGGTTTGTATGGATATGACACCACCCCTTACTACTTAATGGCTGAGGTGTTAGCAAGGGTCAATTGCTCCTCACAGGAATCATTGGTAATCATACCAAGGGCCTTAGGCACATGTCACTCAGGACATATTTGGTGTTGATGAGAGTAACTTAGGTGGGCTGGAAGATGGGGGGATTGATGGATGTAATATTATATCTGGCTCTATTCACTAGGAGGTTTACATGGGTACATATATATGGAATGTTTGAGTCCAAAGGTAAACAAACATTACCAAGTGGAAGCAGAAGTGAATAGGCAAATGACTCCACAGGACAAATGGCTTTTAGGCAAAAAGCCTGAATTATGCCTGAGAAGTGTAGAGTGGGAGAATGGTGAACCAACTGAATAACAGAGGTTAAGTCCATTTATAAGCAAGCAGGGGTACTACGAGGAAAATGTCCAGAAAGGTCTGGAACTTGGAAGTCATAGTCCGGAATATTGGGTGTAGGGAAAATATAATATGAGTAATAAAAGAATATGATGAGCAGAGGTAGGGTAGGAGATAAGGAGGTACTTGGGCATGGAGGTCTGAAGGAAGGACAACCGGAAGTCTGGAGGCAAGGATGTTGGAGGTGCAGAGGGTGGAGAGGGGTAGGATAAGGTGAGAGGAAGTACAACTAATAATAGTTGTGATAGTGATGATGAGAGATGGAGGTTCCAACAACTTTGTCAGTAGTCCACAGTACTCATCAGAACAATGGCAGAGGTCTGTAGGAGGTACAGAAGTAGAGAGGGTACATGGGGTGGAGGAGAGTCATGGTAGGAGGAGGCTTAGGCTTGTTGGCATTGTAGGAGGGCATGATAGGTGTGCTCATTTTCATGGAACTTTTTGTGGTAAATACATCAAAAAGTGGGCTCCTGCCCTTGTACATTATTAGGGAAGAGGAACCAAATGAGCCTTTCTGCAAAGAAATTGGTTGAGATTTGGTTGAGAAATTCAGGCTGAGGAGTCCTCTTGTGCTATGTCCATGCACTTGACTGGAACTCAATGGGTATGAGGTCAAAAGTTAGCAGCAGAGGATGATCTTGGAGTCATTAAATCCAGAAAAATACCCAAAGACCCAGCATAGAATTTCATCCCAATCGGATCAGTGGTTGTGGAGATATTGAGGGAATTTCTGATTATGGGAGTCATGGGACTACATGAACCATGCAGATGCTCACATGTGAGCCGGCCTCAGCCAAATTCCAGGAGAATATGAGTTAGTTATATGATAAAAATGCTAAGGAACTCATTGGAGGAGTTTTGGAATTTTGGGAAATAATTTGGTCCAAGTTTCCCTGTGCACAGATAATCATGATATGCATCCCACATCTGAGAAGTCCTATTCTCAGCCAAATCTTCACCAAATTCTACAAAATCGGTATCATTGGAAAGCTAGAGCTGAGGAGAATCGAATGGAATGAAGGGACAGGGTTTTGACGAGGAACACGGAGTGGTATGAAGAAGTTTACATTTTTACATTATTTTTCTGTTGTTGTTTGGAAATTCATTCTAGTCAACAGTGATTGAGGCTAATCCCCATAGCTGGTGGAGGTTTACCTCAGTCAAACGATATATTTCAGGAGTTTTTCACGATAAGAATGTTGTCTAAACACTATATGTACATTGTAATGGGAACGAAAAAGAGAGAGGTCCCCCCTCCCACTACCTTTGAAGTCTGTGTACTTGGGTGTTGTGAGTGGCCATGCAATTGGTAAGGGCTATTGTGACCTTTAGGGAAATCCACCACAAAAAGAAGATATGAAAGAGTTACCAGAATTTTTCCCCAAAATTCCCCCCTGTTGAAATCATGGACCTGTTCTACTGCAATACCTGTTCAGCCCCCTTTCTTTTTTCCCTAGCCTTTTGGGCAGTGAGTTGGAGTGCTACCTTCCATTTCCTGTGTTGGTAGTAAATTCCTGCTTGCAGCATAGTCCAGAGAGGCAGAGGTGGTTCAGGGGGTTGGTGGTCATTGTCATATCCCGGAATCCCGACCCCGCGCACTCCCACCACTTCACACCTTCTTAACAATTCACCATCCCCTACACCATGCCTCCCTACTCCCCAAGTCACCTTCCCTCCTGACTGTCTCAGCTCCGGTCTGGTTGCGGCACACCGAACCTTGGCCACTCCCATCCCGGAAGCTCGGTCCTGAGTCAGAACATTCGGAGACTCCAGATTTGCTCCGATATCCCGACAGACCTCCGACATCCCGTAACACACCCTTAAACCATTTCTCCACCCATTTCATTTATTTGAGTCACCCAACATCCTTTGGATATGCAACTCCGCTTTCGGAGTTACCTGCATCCTTCGGTGATCTCACTCACGTCATCACTTATTAGTCACCCTCCACTC